GGAAAGGAGCCCGACAATGCAGATACATTTAGTTTCCATTTTTTTCCCGTTCATCTAGGTCCATCAGGATTCGAACTCAGGTCTGCATTTCAATAGTTCACGGGTGTACCAACTGAGCTAAAGCTCGTTGGTAGGTACATATAGCTTATCTATTCGGTAAGTGAAAAAAAATCGATAAACGCTGGTCCATGGATTGTTTCATTTGAGAGCGTGACCCGACCAATGTGGTCGTCTTTCGATAAAGCGACTGACCGTACAGGGTTGAATTCTTTTCCCGAATCAGTGTCCAGACAGCCGCCGGTCCAAAATCTCGGCGTATTCGGTTATCTAAAAATTGATAAACTTACGTCTGAGACATCTGCAGCTGCCTGCCCATCACTGGACCTCATGCTGGCGTCACCAGACCCCATGCTGACATCAGTGGACCTGCTAAAGGGCCTCCTCGCCAGAGCTAATGTCCAGCAGGCACAGGTGAGGTATAGGTCATTGTTAAAAGGGCCTTTACCCGATATAGGCCTCAGGCCTTGCAAAGGTAAAGCAGCTCGAGCCTTGTAAAAGTAAAGCATTGTGAAAAGGTATCTCGCCAGGGCTCAGAAACGTGAAGGCAGGTCAAAGGTCAAGTTCTCTATCAACAGGTACATCTAAATCTAAGGCAAAGGGCATTGTCAAAGGACTTACCTGTTCCCCAGGAGATGTGTATGTCATGTCTGTTCGGGTAAAAGTGTGTCTGCACGTGCAGGCAGTGTACCTGTTCGTGCAAAGGAAAGTGTCTGTTCAAGTGGTAAATGTGTCTGTTCGTTTAGAGTTGTGCCTGTCCGAAAGTAAAGTCAGTAGGCACAGTCCCAGTTCTGGTCTAAGTCAAGGGGTCAGTCCAGATCCAGACTTTCAAGTCCAAAATCCAGGCCGAAGTGCCTCGGCAGCAGTTGAACCTCATTGGGACTATACTGGGACACATGCAATGCAGGGTCTGGGACAAAGGGAAAGGCTGAATTGCCCCAATGCAGACCCAGCGAGGAGTGGCCAGCACTATAAAGGAAGCTGCCAGCCTCATTCCTCGCCAGATGTCCACTGGCTGCAATGCGTGGAAGTGCTGGTGCACTTGTGCGCTGAGTCAGGAGGAGCAGCGCTGGAGGTAGAAGATGCGCTGAAGGAGGGAGGAAGAAGCCTGTACGCTGGAAGTGATGCAGCCATAGCTGCCCAGCAAGTTAGTATTAGTAGTAGTGGGTTAGCATGTAGCTACGAGTAGTATTCAGAGTAGATCCTCATGAGTGAAGAGTGTGTATGCATCGTAGGAGGAAGGGACTGAGGCTGGGAGTGTTCATTCAAGGTTCGGCTATGGAAGATACTTACCTGAGTTGGATGTGACCTGCAGAGGTGGCGCTGATGAGTAGTGACCACATTGATGACTTGGAGACTATCTGCAGGAGTAGCGCTGATACACTGGAAGTCATATAGATGAGTTGACAAGAGATTGGTGTTGCGCTGATGAGCGCTGGACTCAGGGGAACTTTGAAACACTTTGTATTCATATTTCTGATAATATAAGCTGTGAAACTCGGTCCTCTTCTCATCTACCTTTGTCTATGACTTGAGACTATTGATCGTGGTGTGTGAGGATGATGCATGACATGTACACACTTGCGTGAAAGGGTCCCCAGGACCCATGCATTGTCCTCGTGACTACATTTGCTGACAGGCGCGGCAGATACAGGGCATCAACTCTATGTCTGCATCTGCCGGCAGGCTCAGGTCAGCTGAGCTTCTTGAACAAACAGTGTACAGCAGTGAATTGCCAAACTCACTGAACATTCCATGAAGGATCCTGAGAGAGATCATATGCAAAGAAGGGACTTTTTGCCTATGGTTTCCTGCTAGTCCCCTTCCAACCCTCCTCCCCTCGCCCCCCCT